TACGTGCAAGCCCGAGGGTTCTGTGTTGCGCGGCGATCTTGTTTCGCTGCCTGCGGCCCCGTTCATTGTTGGTTCGCGCCATTATCAGTGTATAGTTAAAACTTCTGCTGCGGTTTTCCCGTTTGGCTGGGCACAGGTGGCCCATTAATTAGTGGTGCTTTCAGTTCCTCTTTCCCTCGCTGGCTGCCGCCGGTGGAGTTCGCGTGGTCTGGCTGCGAGCTTCCCCGAAGCCCCGTGCTGACCGAACCTGACAGCTACTGCATTTCTATCTGCAAAATGGAACTGTCATTAAGAGAAGCCATGATTTGACAGTCCTAATCCACCAGGACAGATCTCCAAGAGATGGATGTTTTATGGCCTTGCATAGTATCATTTCCAGGCCAATAATATTAACTGTATAAGTACCTTTCCTGGATTAGTACAATTATCTTCTTTTTAATATTTATTTGAAACTGGCCATTTAATTCAACATGCATCCTGCATAGAGCAGAGATACCCAGTATTTCCAATTAATAGATCAAGAACAGGGATGGATGACCATGGCCCACAGTCTTCCTGCCACCCCTCAGCATGCCATTTGCACCTCAGAGCACCTTAAGATAGTGCCATCTGATGGCAAAATACAGGTAGTCCTCGCTTACCAACTGCTTCATTTAGCAACCATTCAAAGTTACAACCTGATTTTAAAAAAAACAAACAGCTTTGCAACCAATCCTTTACAGCCATTGCAACGTCCTACAGTCACATGATCACCATTAGGCGCTTTGCAACAGGTGCACATTTACAATTGTCACAGCATCCTGTGGTCACATCGGTCACATGATCACCATTTGTGTGCTTCCGAATTGGCTTGCAACAAGCAGAGTTAATGGAGAATGCAGAAGTGAGGTTGTCAGCCCATCGCGGTCACGTGATTTTCTGCTTAGCGACCATGGCACTTAGCGAGAGTTGCTGGTCCCAAATGTGGTTGCTAAGTGAGGACTACCTGCAGCTGAATTTCAACACAGTAGATTCAGCTCATTTTTCTAGGTTTGGGTAGTTTTATGGATGCAAATAGCCACATTTTTCTTTGGAAAGCCTCCCACTTCATCATTATCCTTAAAATACCCCAAACCAAAATATGGTCTCCCAAATTGCCTGTTTTTCAGATTTTAAGATGGTTAAGATGGGGCTCAAATCCCCATCCCTACCCTAAAAAAGTCAAAATAAATTCATGCTCAAACCTTGTGGTGACCTCAAAATAGCTGAGTTTGGAAAGCTGAGCTGGGCCCTAGATCCTCAAATGTGATCTTCTCCTGCTCTAGAATATGTAAATAAAAAACTACAGGTAGTAAATGGTGGGGACACATGTTTATTTAAAAGGTGTCTGACTTGTCTTTGCTTGAACATTAAAATTCCCTAATGATCCTGAGACAATAAATAATATTTTTAAAAATATTTCTAATCCAGGGATGAATAACCTGTAGCCTAAGACCTTATGCACATACAAACACCCCCCAATGACAACAGCAGCAGGATCCTAGGATTGTACCTTAAATATTAGCAGCCTAACGATAGCATTTCCCATCTAGAATAAGGATGGATTGAAATAGGAGGCCTCTGAGATTAAGAGGGGTCTGATTTCCTTCCTTACAAAATATCCCTGCAAATCCACAAATGACTTGAAACACCATTTATATTGACATTTCAGTGGTGTGATTTCAAACCATATTTGCCCCTAAGTCAGACAAGACATTAACCTGCCTCTTTCTTTGATGTAATTCCACTTATAATGACATTGCATGCAGCCTTCTAGCTAGGCAGGAGAACAAATTGCCATCTATGACCTTCAGAAAGTTGCTACTGTAATCCTACAGTTTGGGGCATTCTAAGAACAAATCTGGAAGAAGTAACTGCCTTCCATTCCATGTCTCTGGGATACATGAGTAGAAAACTGATTCATGTTACCATCTGATTAGGAACCCAGAACCCATTCCTAATCAGAAGGAGGAACCTTTCAGCATGTAGACACTAGGTCTCCTTCCTTCCATATTTCTCCTTTTCCCCATCATAATGTTTTTCCCCAATATAATAAAACATAAATAACTACATAGCGACCGCCACTTCCATATGTGTAGTATACCAGTGGCACATATGCACACATACACACACATATGGCCCATTTCAGACTATCATTGCCAGGGGAGGGGCAAACTCTTTTCAATGATACCAACCTAATGGGGAACATTCTCCCCTCAAGCCTTACCTGATACTTACTTTATAGGCAGAGCCACATCACTGGTCCAGCTAATCTCATCTTTTGTAAACTATGCAACAGCCAGATGTAAGAGCTCCAACTCTCAGGATTCCCCAAGCAGAATGGCCAAAGAACAAGAAAATGGTTGTGTTGGGAAATGCTGATCTAGTCCAATAAATTCTAGGAGCTCCTGACTGGCAGTTGTTCTTCAGGTCTCAGACTTTTCTACATAACTTCTTTAATTGAAGTGCTCAGATTAAACCTGTGGTCTTCTGCACACAATAAGAAAGAGAGAAAGGAATATCATTTGCTAAATTATGAGGGGAGTTGGTGAACACTTAGCTGTATGTGTTCAAGCAAACACTAGACAGTCATTTCCCAGGGATGAGTCTAATCAGGATCCTACACTAAGCAGCAGGCTGCACTTGAAGGCCACAGCAGCCCCTACAATTCTATGAAATTTACATTCTTTCCCATTGCAAAATAATAGAGGAAAACAACTGGATATAATTAGAAGCACAACAGTGACAATGACAAAATAAATCAATCTCACCTTATAAATCCTATTCCAAGTTCAAAATTGATGATGATGAAAGAGAGGTGACGGAGAAGGGATATCAAGATTCTTTACAACATATGAGGAAGTAAATGTTTTACTATATTGTTACTATAAAGTTATGAAAAATCAAATAAAGGATTTCTTTTTATTTTAAATATCTTCTCATCTTTTTTCCTGTGCTGCTTCATTTAGAGCTTCTGATTGAAGTCCATATACTGAGTTGCACCAAAATGAAGCTCTTGCTAGAGTTTGTTCTAAACATGTTGCTTGACGCATTTCGTGAAGCACACTGGAATCGCGCTCAAAGCCTCTGAAAGTTTCTCAACTGCCAGTGATGTAATTTATTTTCAGAAGCAGGACAAGACTATGTAGGCTTTTACCCTATATCCACTTTGAAGACAATTGGACTTATTTTCTGAATAATCATGGACAGAATAATACTTCAGGATAAAAAAGGGTAAAAATAAAATTGGCCACACATTAAAGGAAACAAGAGAAAATAAATTGTTAAAAAAAAAAAAAAACCACTGGGGCCAGAGGCGAGATTACATTTTAGATTATTTTAATGCCTCCACAGTTTATAAGTGCAAAGTTTATTGGCAATGTTTCCAGATTGAAGTATATGGATAATAAATGTGTGGGGCACAGGGCATCTGTGGATAATGAATATCTAGCACCCTGAGGTATTTTAGGAATCATCTGGTTGAAAAAAACTGAAAGTAGATAAAAGTGCAAGGGAGAAATATGATCAGTGGAGAAAAGGCAAGCAGCAAAGATTTGGTTCAGGGCCTCAGACTGAATGGTAGATAATGGGACCTTTCCATCCATTGTAAAAACAATAAAAAGAAAAAGAACTGCATTCAAAGTTTACTTGGAAATAGATTTAAGCTGACCCAGCCCTGGCCGTCTTCACAGGATATCTGCCATGCACAGGAAATGAACTCGCAGATCCAATTAGGAGACTGTGAAGTCGAAACCAATCTGTTTCCTTCCTTCACACTGTAATCTTTTCCACCTTAGCCCAGACCCAAAAGCGAGGAATTCATAATCCTCTTGTTAGGTGGAACCAAGGTATTATTATTCATTTGAAACCTCAGGCTGCAAAAGGAGAGGCCCAGCAGATGTGGAATATTAGAAGTTAAAAATGAATAAAAACACACAAAGATTATATATATATATATATTACAGGAAGGATATGTATCTGGGGCACCATCTTTTCCCAATTCTTTGTATACAGCAAAAGCTTTGTCACCATATTCTCCAGTCAACCTTATCAGTGCCATGCTATGGATATATATGGGGGGGAGGGGGGAACGTTTTTGCCATTCAAATTGATTGATTGATTGATTGATGCAACAGAAAATGTCCTTGGTCATAAGAGAACAGGCTCTCCTTTATTTAACAAATGCAGAGATAAAACTGTGATGATACCATGGCAAAAGTCCTTCAAATTTACCATTTTTCAGACTCAGGAAACAGTAGTGGTATTTATTTTTGTTTCAAATAGATACACATGCATGCGTGCACACACAAACACACAAACACATATGCACACAAACATTGCTGGCAAAGTCCTTCAACTGGAAGAATGTTAATGAGACTCAACGCAGGTCTATTTAGGGAACAAGTCAGCAATCTATGAGCCGTCCTGTGACACCTCAGGCCCTAAATTATTAAAGGTTCTTTTTGGCCATTAAAAAAAAAATGATAATATTTTTATCCATAATCTCATGCAATATCAGTGTTTCATGAGATTTTCCTATTTGGGCCAAGATGTGGTAATCATGCAGGATTTCTGCCATTTTTTGAAAACCAAGTTTTACTGTAACTAATGTTACAGGGACCTTTACACATTACTGACTACTGGATTGCTCTAGTACTTGTAGAGATTGTGCAATCACAATGACCCTTAAGGTTTCTGCTATTAAACAGTCCTTCCCCCCCCCCCCCACCTCCAGTGGGCATTCTTCTTGGAATATTCACTATTGCATGTCCTGGCTATCTGCATCTGTAAAATTATTAACCACTAGGGACAAAAGATAGAGGGATAATTAACAGAGAGTTTCTGTGCTTTTGTCTCCTTTTTTTTTTTTCTTCCCCTAGAATTGTTCCTTGTGTGTTTCTGTGTAATATATACCCTATTGGTTAGACTGATACTCTCAGATCTGTTATCACACCTCTTCTCCTACATAGCTCACACTCCTTCTTCTATAATGGCTCCTTCTCCTTCTCCCATAATGGAATAAATACCATGCATGCTCTACACTGTAGATTGACTAGGTAACAGGAGTGTCTGTGGGAGGTAGGGAGGTCAAAAAAGTCAAGATAGTATCCACAACCATATAATTCTGCCACTTTTTAATGTGTGTCACATATGCAACATGCATAAGAAAAGTCTGGGGCATTTTTCACTTAGTTGTGGACGCCATCTTTTTTTTTAATATATATTTTTTATTAAAATATAAAAGAATAAAACAATAGAAATTTTGAAAGAAAAAGGTAAGGAAATTAAAGAAAAGTAAGTAAAAGTAAGTGAAAAAAAGTGCAAAGAAAGAAATAGAGAAGAGGAGGGAAGGGAAGGGAAGGGAAGGGAAGGGAAGGGAAGGGAAGGGAAGGAAAGGAAAGGAAAGGAAAGGAAAGGAAA